TTGTGGTGCATGCCTGTAATCCCAGCTACTGAGGAGACTGAGGCAGGAGAATTACTTGAACCCAGGAGGCAGAAGTTGTAGTGAGCTGAGATTGCACCACTGCACTCTAGCCTGGGCGACAGAGCAAGACTGCATCTCAAAAATAACAAAGAAAAGTAATTAAGAAAAACCAACATGTCCTGTTGAATTTAGAGTATCAAAAGATGGAAGAAAATTCAAGATGAAAACGCAGATTACCTAGATATGAGAGATTAAAAACCAAGCTAACCTCATACTTTTTCACAATAGACACTGCTGGAAGGCTCCTGAAGAATATCTGCCAAGTGTTAAGGGAGAAATACTGTATCAGAGATCATAGCCATGATGGAGGGAGAAAATACACTAAATAGAATATAGGATAAGATATTAAGGCCCAAGAATAATCACATAAGGCATTACACATAAATGATGACTGCTGACTGCTATTGAAAGATATGGAATAAACTGAACTATCATGTTGTTTGCAAGAAACACACCTAAAGCAAAAATGACCCGGGAAGGCTAAATGTAACAATGAGAGAGTGGGTAAGTCATAAACTGGAAGGAAATCTGCAGTAATATTACTATATTACTATTAACCGAAGTAGAATTGGACCAAAAACTGTAAGATGAGAGAAGTTTTATCTTAATAAAATGGACAGTAGTGACACCACAGCATCGAAATTCATAAAACAAAAGCCATTAAAAATTCAAGGACCCAAAGCACCATTGTGTAGGAGACTTTAGTAGACAACTTGGAAATGCTGATACCCTAAGAAGGCACGAAATAAGATATTGAGGATCTGAATAGTGTTGTTTAATAATGTTGACTTGATAGTGTATTGTACATTGCACCATATTTGGGTTTTACCAAATATGCAGTATATTACCTTTCTAAAATCTGAAAAATTCTGAAATCTGAAAAAGAACTGTCCTAAGGGGTCCTTATAACCCTATGAGGATTGTGGACCTTTTATCTCCTTGCTGCTCGTTCTGCAGTAGCCCCCCCCCACACACACACATATATATATTCTATAAATATTAGTACTTACCTTAAATGTTTCAGTATGACATATGGAGAACCAGAGCCAGTATTTGTTGAATACTTGCTGTGTTCTGAACAATAGGCTATATACTTTGCATATGTTATTTAATTCAATCCTAACCAACACTTTGAAATGGAATCTAAGGCTCAGAATATTTAAGAATCTTCAGTGCCCAACATCGCTCACCTGGTAAGTAGCCAAGTTGGAATGTTAGTCTAGATTTGTCTATTATTACACTGCCTCCTATGATTTTGCATACATCTGTAGAATAAATGTTTGTTACTCTCCTGTCTAGTTTTTCCCAAATGGATATGCCTTCGCCACTGGCTCTGATGATGCCACTTGCCGGCTCTTTGACCTTCGTGCAGATCAAGAGTTATTATTGTATTCTCATGACAATATCATCTGTGGAATCACTTCCGTAGCCTTCTCAAAAAGTGGGCGTCTCTTGTTGGCTGGTTACGATGACTTTAATTGTAACGTATGGGACACGCTAAAAGGAGATCGTGCAGGTTAGTAAATCAGTCCACATTAGGTTCTGATTTTCAGGAAGTGTGAAGAGGTTCCCGTCAGTTGTGTTCTAGGCCTCCATGGACATCTTGGAGTTGTGGGAAGTGGTAACCCAATGCTTCTCATCATGTTCTTTGTTGTTACCCTTTGTTTGTGGTTATAATCCATAAGCCATATTTACACTTTTGCTTTCTGAAGAATCACACTGAAGTCTGTAATATTTTCTTGTTTCATAGACTTCAAAGTTAAAGATAGATAGTGAATGTGATTCAGTGTGGTATTTTAGAAATCACACTTTTCTTACCACCTGACAGGAAACATTGTAACTGCTCGTTTTCTTCCTTCTGAAGCAGTTCTTGTATGGGACAGGACATACACTTGTCACTTCCCTTAGCCCCACACCCTGAGTCCTCCTCTGCAGCTTCCACAAGATGACAATACACATTAAGTCATACTGGGGACTGTCATTAATAACAAGTCACACAGAGTAATTTTTAACTCTTTTTAAAAATCAAAATTATACTTAAAGGAATCCAGTTGTCCTATATAGCTTGTTACCAAAACACAGCATTGCTTCATTCCCAACCCATAGTTTCTGCAAAGTAACTACATTTAGTCATTAACTACTCCTCGTCTCCCTCTCCACCTTTGTTTTGTTTTGTTTGGACAGGATCTCTTTATGCTGCTAAGGCTGGTTTCTTCCTGCCTCAAGCTCTGGAGTAGCTGGGATTACAGGCTTGAATCACCTCACCTGGCTTACTTACCTATCTCTAAATAACATGCCTGTATTCCTGTTACTTGTTTAAAAAAAAAATTAGGTGTTACCTGTTGTTGACCTATTATCATGGATGATAAGGGTTTGGTTTTAAGCTGCTCCCACCATAGCCACATTCTTCCCCACCAGTTTTTTCCCATATGATAGATTTTGTTTAGAGCCACATTCACTGTTTACATAATTCCGACTTTTTAAAAAGTCATTTGTTGCTGAGCCATGAGACGTGTTATGACTTCTTTTGCCATGCGGCTTTTTTTTGTAATTTCTAGAGTTAATTTTTTGGTTTATAGTCTTAGTTTTGATGTGCTTCTCACTAATGAATCTTCACACTTTCTGCCACTTTTGATATGTCTTGGAGCAGATCCATTTTCATTGTGCTGGGTATTTAGTGCGCCTTTTTGATCTGGAAACTGATTGCCTTATAGAATAGGGACACTTGGGGGTAGGGGCTTGTTGAATTTTATTTCTTCTCCGTTATCATTATTCCCTTTTTCTAGATCTCCCATTATGTTGATAATGGGCTTCCTGGACTGATCCTTTGACTTCTTTTTTTTGTTTTTAAGAATTTTTTTTTTTTTT